ACCTAGCTAACAGGTGGGAAGCCTCACTTTCGCCAATTACTGTGTGCGCTGCTAGTAATACGGAGTCATGTCAGAGCTGAGCTTCAAAGAGGGCAAATTGTTGGTGCCCGCTTAGCTGGTGCCTCTTTGACTGAAGTTGCCAACTTATTTGCTGTGTCACGAAGTACAGTATCGAAGGTTATGACAGTTTATACAGATTCCGGGAGTTGATAACCATAAGCGCGGTCGACATTGGTCAACTGACCAAAAGAGAAAAAGGACATTTCACAGTTTGTCTCTTGCAAAAGTGACTGCAGTGCTCAGTTCTTCATGTGAGAAGCAAAAGAATGTTTTCTTACTCCAGGTCTTAATTAATTCGGAATGTCCTTTTGTCTTTTCAGTTCACAGTGGAAGCAAAAGAATGTTCTATTACTTCCACTTTCAGTGCGAGACATGGTCACTTTCACACCTGCAAATCATGTAGTGTTTCCATTTTTTTGTCTAACCCCAGTATATGTGTAGTTGTAGTGCTTCCAGTAAGTTCCATCTAACCAGGGAACGTGTTTCAGAGCTTGTTGGCCCTCTTTTATTTAAGAAGAAAGTAAAAGTACAACACAAAAATAAAGGGTTAATCTTGCAGGGGGTTCCACCATCACTTCAAATATGAACTGAAAAATGACTTCAAGCCTCTTTTGCACCACTGCTGCTCAGGACTCAGGCCTCTGCCTTTTGGTTGTTCCTGCAGACCGTCCTACTGCCATCCTGTGATCTCACGTATGACCACTGTACCTCTCTCAGCTTTCCCTCTTACAACTCCCTGCTGCTCTAGCCCTCAGGCTTCGGTTCTCTGTCTGTTCCCTCACAGACTTCACCTGGACTGTGCAGACATGCACACCTCTGACTGCTCCCTTGCTGGCTCGCAGACTCCTGGGGAGGGTAGAGCCCTGAACTGCTGTCAGGCTCTTGAATATATAGGTTGTGCACAAATATACAGCCTGCCAGTTTGTTGCAAAACCTGGACGCAGGGGTTTAAAGGCTTCATTCCACCCAAGCTGTTTGAAGCCTCTGGATTCTGGAGTCCATTCCAGGAATTCCAAAACCTAGAGAACACTGGAAAGCCAGTCTGTTCTGCTAAGAAAACAAATTATATTCTTGAGCCCCTCAGTCTGCAACTTTGTTTGCAACCTCGTGTGCCATTTTCCTCTTCCAATACAGTTGCAGGGTCTAGCACTGTCACATCCCCCCCCCCCCCTTTAATTTGATCCAGAGGGTGGAACACACAAGCCCCTTACTTTGGTTCCACTATACCAGATAACATTTATCGAGGCTTCATTCTCTCTGACATTTCTTTTTTCCCTAAAGGGGAACTCTACTCAGTGCCTACATTGGAGTGTCTCTCCACCCCACTGATACTTCTCTTTGGGCTCTAATGAGATCTTTCCAAGTCTTTATTCGGGTGTGCGTTGATCAGCACTTCTTGGAAATCTTAACAGAGCCCCAACGGGTCTCTCTACCAACCCTTCTTTCTCCTTTCTTCGTGTTCCAGGTTCCCTCCCTCCCTAAATTACTGTCCTGAGAATATAGGGGGCCTACTCCTATGGTGTCTGTTATGTTTTCCCCTCTCCAATCAACTTTTTAATTAAGGTACGCTGTTCTTCTGAACAATGTCTGGAACGACCCATTTTCCTCAGAATTTCAGAGAGAAATGCACTGTAACCAGCATGTACAACATTTGCTGCCTTCCTTCCTTAAATAAGGGCAATAATTGCCACCTGTTTTTCAAAGGATGAATGACCTCACTAATAGAACTCCACACTGCTATTATTTTGAACATGCCCCTTTCAATTAGTGATTCAATTACACAGAATCAGCAGCATGCATGTCATGACTGTTGGGTCTGTTGGATTCTATTACTCTACTACACCTGCTAGTAAATTATTTGCCATGTAGAAATATCATTTCTGCCAAAAAACAGTGAACTTAGTTTTGTCAAAACGTTGGAAATTACTCTTGTCTTCATTGAGATATTGATTAAAATCTTACTTTTCAAAAGGGGTGCACTCATTTATGCTGAGCACTGTGTGTGTGTGTGTATGTGTATATATATATATATATATATATATATATATATATATATATATATATATATATATACACAGTGTGACATTATGAAGGACGAGGTGATTGAGGGATGCTATGTATCACCTCACATGCTTTCATATGTAGAGAACTAAGGTGGAATCCAGTCCAGGTTTTCCCAGGCCACCTTGGTTGTGTTTCCAAACTGGACTTTCCATTCCACTTGTGACCACCAGTGGGTGGTATAGATAAAGCAGAACTGGAGTAAGAGGTTGGTCTTGGCCTGGGACTCAGGAAGCCATACCTGAGAGAGGACTGTGGATGTGAACGTTTGCTTTGTTCCAAAAAAAAAAAAAAAAGGTTTGCACAATTTTTTTTTTTTTTTGGTGACTGGGAGAAGCCCTTCACCTGTGAGATAGGAATGTCTGCTGTTTAGTAAGTGCCTGGATGGCAAGGATTTATTTTCTGATTTATTTATTTTCCATGCAACCTTTTAAATAAAACTGTCTACAAGCCAGACATTTTCACGGGCTCAAATATAATTGTACAAGTGAATATAATCATAAACAAAATGTTTTCCATTTTAATATTTTGTTGAGAATCCTGTACTAGCAATAACTGCCTGAAGTCTGGAACACATGGCCATTACCAAAGACTGGATTTCCTCCTTTTTGATGCTTTTGCCAGGCTCTAATTGCAGCTGTATTCAGTTGTTCTTTGTTTGTTGGTCTTTCTGCCTTTAGTTTTGCCTTTAGCAAGTGAAATGCATGCTCAATGGGGTTGAGATCAGGAGATTGACTCGGGCATTCCAGAATATTCAACTTCTTTTCCTTCAAAAGCTTGTGGGCTACTTTTGCAGTGTGTTTTAAATATTGCCCATGTGTACTGTAAGCGCCATCCAATCAACTTTGCTGAATTTGTCTGAATCTGGGCTGAAAGTATATCTCTAAACACTGCAGAATTCATCCAGCTGCTTCTGTCTTCTGTCACATCATCAATAAACATCAATGACCCAGTGCCACTGGAAGCCATGCATAATGCCATCACACTGCGTCCACCATGTTTTACAGATGACATTGTGTGCTTTGGATCATGAGCTGTTCCAAGCCTTCTCCACACTTTTTTCTTCCCGTCATTCTGGTACAGATTAATCTTAGTTTCATCCGTCCAAAGAATGATTTTGACTGGCTTTTTTAGATTTTTTTTTGGCAAAGCCTAAGGACCGAAGGACCGGCCGATCTAAAACCGCAGTGTGATGCGTGTAACAAGGCCACACTCAGCCGCACCCAGCACAGCGATTGCCCAGCTAATGGACTACAATCGGTGCCTGCAGCCTAAATGCGCTTGTTACTGGGTCGGGTTAATTACGCAACTAACCCTCTACTGCCACCACCACTTTTGTCGGAGACTGGGAAACTCCCGTTATCAAATATACACTATAATGATTGAAATATTGATCTATATAGCACGGCCCGCGGACCTGTTATACAGAGATATACCAAACAGTAGTGTCTCTTCAAAGGCAGGGATTCGTGAATTGCAAGTAAGCGCTTAGAAACAGTTTAACACTTTCAGAAAGAAAGATTTATTACTAAAAGGGTCAAAACAGCTGCGATAAAATATTTACAAAGAGATGTCACAAAAATATATATATATATGTATATAAAGACATAGCAAAGAGATAATTAGGAAGAAGATTACAGGGTTAAGTTACTTGCCCATATGCCTGGGTTTGCAGATCCAAGTTGTAGAACAGGGTGATTTCTTGATCTCCTTTTGTTACGATGTTGCTGGGAGATCTCTGTGTGTGTGAGTGTGTCAAGCTTTAACTGATTTGTCTCTTCTTAAAAGTCCCTCTCAAAGGGGGGCTCTGACTACACGTTTTGGGAGTGGTCAGTGGGAAACTCTGTATTAATCTATAGCCTCATAATACATGACATGAAACATAAGGTTGACCTGAGGAATGTGCAATTACTCTGGTCAGTTTGATAATGTGTGGGCTTACGCCGTTTTGGGTGACAAAAGTTACACTTTAGTAGAGGGCTTGTCTCCACTCTCATGTCTTCCTGGTTGTTCCACACCATCTGCCAGGAGATAACGTTTGCCTCACAGGAATGCAGGGGGGATGTGAGGAATGATTCGAGGAAGATCTCAAATACAGAAGGTTGAAGGAGAACTCCGCTCCAACTCGGATGTGCAGGTTTGCTACACAAGTACACTTGCAGTGCACAGAATAATTGTCTTTTGTAAATCCACTTCACTGTCTTAAGCAAGCCATAGATTATGCAATTTTGTTCCCTGCAACCATAGGTTGCTTTCCCCATCAACACAGTGTTGATGGGGGAATCCCTCTAGCAGTGCACGGGGCAGGGAACCTTCAATTCATCTATGGCCGGCCTTAGTCCTTATACACACTGGACATTTTTACAGCGGCTGTTTTTGGCTTTTGACGTTTTTTTCTACAGCCAGTAAACTCATCAGCATGTTATCCTATGGGTCCATGCACACATAGACTGTAATCAATGTTTTTTTTTGGCAGGGGCGTTTTTTGGATGGGAAAAAAAAACCCCCCAGGACTAGTGGGTTTCTAGAGGAGTTTTTTATCTGTAAAACCTCTCTAACGCTGAAAAACGCGGTAAAATGCCACAAACCGGCGTTTTTGGACTTTTATTGACTAAAAAAAAATTATTATTATTTTTAAAAAAAAAAAGCAAATGCAGCAAAATGCTGCTAAATGCTAATGCAAAATTTGCTAAAAAAAGCTGGAAACCTCATGTTTTTAACGTGACTTTACACAGCTAACGTTACCAGAACGCCCAATGTGCATGGAGCCTAATACTTTCAAAAATCCATGGCAGAGATCTCCTGTCAGTAGATGGTGTTTCTCCCTTATTACTGTTGTTGTCTGATTTAAACATTGTTTTGTTTTTTTATCTTGCAGTCAGCGACTGGAGATACGAGCACAAGTTGCAAATGCCTTCCTAGCAAAGTTCCAGCTGACATCTGAGGAAATGAGCATTTTACGTGGAAGTCATGAAGGTCCATTAACTGAAGTAAGGAGAAACATTGTTTTTTTACTCCCTTCCCTCATTGTTTGATCTGTACTGGAATAAGGTGACACATACATTATTTGCAGTCATTTGTGTTACTGTTGCTGTAGTAAATAAAACAAATATTTTTTGCTATTTTAAGCAACAGAAATGTGTGAAAAAACTGTTGATGTCTAAATAAAAGTGCATAAAACACCCCAAATGTATGGACAAAAGAAGGGCAGACAGGGTAGAAAAGCCATTGCATACTCAAGCGTATTCCAAAGTATTTTATCCTTGGGGGGAGCTTGGGCACACATTGGCTTTTCAACTCTGTCTGGTTGCAGGGAAGTACTATCAGGAGACCTCGGCTGCAGCTGTCAGGTGAGAGATGCCAAGTGGCCTTTACAAACAAATGCAGACAGCAGCAAGTGGACTATAGAGGATTGACCTGTGAGTATTACTAATACATGTGAGTGCAATGTTTTTGTTTTTTTTATTTAGTTTTTGGCAATACTTTATTATCTGGAGCCATGTACATATTCTTTTAACTCACTGCTGACGAGATGATCTGGTTTTGGAGTAAGTGGATCAAAGGAGTTCAAATAAATATCATAAAGGTTATTCACACCTTATGTGAGCTACCCATGTGATCCCTAGTGGGGGGTAGCACAACATTTTCATTTTTGAGTGTTTTTTACTTTAGGGCCCTTTCACATGAATGTTCCAATCAGGTCCACCTGTCAGTTTTTCAGACAGACCGGATTGGATGGTCCATGCATTCCTATGGACCAGCAGGTGTAAACGGAGTTGTCTGTTTACACCTGCCAACCTCTGGGTTCGATCATGCCTGCTAAAAAAAAAAAAAATTCATCCTCTTTTATTTGATTGCACTGGATCGGAGGCAGGCGGGTCTTTTTACACCCGGCTGCCCATAGTACTGAGTGGGCTCTGTCCGTGTCCACTCTGCATTAACTGAGCGGATATGGACCTGTCATCCGCCCTGCTCTGCTGCAATTAGCAGGGGATCTGTGAGTAGAACCCCTGGTGATCAAAGCGTAAAATGCCCATGTGGTGTTTGTGTATATGCAGTGTGTCCTGTCTTGATTTTGCAAAGACTGCTTTGTTCAGGGCCATATTCACCTTAGCCTGCATGGTAAAACACTGTGTTCCTAAAATGTTCTAAGAAAGTATGGTTTTCTAATTAATGGGGTCAAATTGATGATTATTTTCAACCACAGTGATAAGAAAATTTGAAGGAACAGGGAGGAAAATATATTTCTCGATCGAACAGTTTGTGGCTTTCATTTGGTGATGTCCATACATTCCAAAAGCAAATGTTAAAAGCAAACAAAATCTTTTGAATGTTTTGAGAATTTTGTACAAATTTTTGACCCGTCTATGGCCTGCATAACTGGCCTATTGGGTCTGTCCGCCCGCAACTGATATTTAGTTGTTTAGTAAACTCTAGCAAAGTTATTTTATTAGCACCATCATAGTTCAATTTCTATCTATCCTGCCACCATGCTTTCTAAGTTTAATCACTTATATCAGTATTAAAGCATATTAAATGCAAAACCAAAGATGTAATATATTTCAGCTTACCAATCATTAGATGTGGTGGCTGCATTGATTTTCTTTTTTTTATGCTTTTTTCCCCTCTGTTTTCATCTGGTGATCTGGCCAGTAACACACCTATATTACAGCACCCCCACTCTGAATGAAGGAGCATAGAGGGCACAGCAGACAGCAGCATTATCAGTCTGGGGGGAGGTGTTAGATGGATTAGTAGATTTAGATACACTAACAAATTGAAGCTGAACTCAAGCTCACACTGCAATTACATAAGCAGTTAAAGCAACAGGTTTTTTTTTTGAGTGGGGGATAAAGGTTTTAGATGAATGAAAAAAGTTGATCAATGTAAGCACTCCTGTCAGTGGTAAATGGTTTGTCTCTACACTCTTAACTGATACATTTGCAGGAAAGCGTTACTGGTCAAATCACCAGGTGAAAATTAAAGAAATCCTAAAAAAGAAAACAAATGCTGCCATCACATCTATTAATTGGTGAGCAGCAATATAATAAATGTTTGCTTTTGGGTTTAATACCACTTTAAATGCAAAAGCAAACATTTATTATACTGCTGCTTATCAGGTCTTAGAAGTGGTGGCTGCATTTGTGTTTTGGCTTTTTTTTTTTTTCTTTCTTTCTTTTTACCTGGTGATCTAGACAGTAAGTAATTTGCTTTTCAAATGAACAAGCTGACCTGCAAATGTATCAGTTAAGAGTGTAGAGGCAAACCATTTACCAATGATAGGTTTCAAATGAACTACTGTAATATACCAACCATGTTTTAGTTTTGAATTATAACTAAAGGCAAAACCTTTTTGTTTTTTAGTTTAGGATATAGTGGAGATGGATTAGAACACATATTAGACTTTTATTGCTGTTTGTGCCTCCATTAGGGGGGGTCTCTGTCCTGTTTACTGTTAGCAGAAAGTGAAAGCAAAAGAAAATCCCAAATTTTGGGTTGCCCCCAGAAATGTTAGAGGGGAAATTTCCATTGGGGACACTAGTTCTTGTGACCTTGGGGCCCCAAGAAATTTCCTTAATTTGTAGGGATTTCCTCTCACTTCCTTTTTTGACTATGGGACCGGGAGTGAAGGTAAATCTCCCCAGTGAGATGCACATGACAGAAAAAACTGACGGGTTATTGAACTCCTTTACTCTATCCACAATGGGAAAAAAAGGTTTTGCACTTTAATGGTTTTCTACTTTACAAGTGAGCACAGTACTGCAGGTAGTTTCTGTAAATGTATATACATACATTTTAAAGGAAAACTCCGCTTTAAATAAATATATATCAAGCTATTTGATAATTTAGGCTAGGTTCACACTAGTGTGGCTGCGATTTGACCTGATTTTTAGTGCAATTATGAAGTGCGACTTGGTTGCAGTTTGACTTGTTCATTTTTGGTAGGGGAAGGAGACTGGATGCTGGTTTGTTAGGCAGCTGGTACCTGCCGGAATTCCAACAACCAGTGACCCAGGGATTCCAGGTTGACAGCAGAATGAAACTAAGGTGCCTGTCAGTGAAAAAAAAAAAACAGTGTGGGAGCCCCCCCACAATCCTTAACAGGCCCTTCAGGTCCGGTTTAGGTTTTACGGGGGACCCCATGGCAAAAAAAACAAAACAAAAAATGTGTGTCCCCCCCCTCTCAAATATAAACCAGATACTTATCTAAGCATGCAGTCTGGCAAGACAGGAAAGGTGGGAGACATATCCCACCTCCCATCCCACCTGAACCATACCGGGCCAGCAGGTGGTAAGTGACTCTTTTGTGCAATATCGTACAGAGAGGGGTAAGTATGATCTATGTTTTATATATATATATATATATATATATATATATGTATATATTATATATATATATATATATATATATATATATATATATATATATATATTATATATATGTGTATGTGTGTGTGTGTATATGTGTGTGTGTGTGTGTGTGTGTGTGTGTATATATGTATATATATGTATATATATATATATATATATATATATATATATATATATATTTCTACATACATATAAACAGCAGAGAAGAATCGGGTCACCTGTCCTTAAGAGAGGGCTTTGCTATGTGATAGAATTGTGTAAATATCTGTATTGGATTGACAAATCTGCAAATTGAGAGATTGAAGACCCCCTTATATGTGTTGTATGTTTGTACTTAAATGTTTGCCTGGAATTCAGCTTTCAGCAGCCAACTATATATTTTTTTATAACTAAACTACTGGTATTTTCTTATGGATTTTATTATTATACGGGATTTATATTGTGCCTACAGTTTGTGCAGCGCTTTACAATGTAAGGAAGACAGTACAATTACAATACAATTAAGTACAGAAGGAATATATACAGGGTCCCAAACACTGCACACCTAGCAAAGCCATTAGTAACATACCATGCAGCTTTGCAAACCATGACAACGCTGGAGATGTTCTGTTGCTCCGCATCCCCCCCAGTCTACTCATATGACTGACCCACAGCATTTCACAGCAGTTTTTTTAAATCTTATTATAACCCAAAAGCTTGTCGTGATTATTGTTGGCCAACCATTCCAGCTGCAATCCTAGTGCCATATTCAGTAGAACAGCAGGGGGTAATTGTGTGATGGCGGTTGCTAAGATTCTTAAAAAAATTATTTCCAGATCTGTTCTATACATTTCAACATATCAAAAGTAGAAATACACTTTTACTAGCAAGGGACAGGTTCAGAATGTGTATTAGCAAGAGTATGCAGTATTTAAATAACCCAGCTGCGGGTTTGGAGTTTGTTGGTCCATTTTCGTCTTGTGGAGGGTTAGGCGATTCTGATGTTATCATTTGTTCTTAATTTGAAGGAGTTCTTCAGGGTTCTGGATAAAGTTAAACAGATCCACAATGATGTCAAAGTGCTTCTGCGAACAAACCAACAAACAGCAGGGTAAGCTTTGTGTTATATGTTGTTCTCTATGTACATGTGAACAGTCATTGCTAAGATAATTCTTTGCAAAGTCTACTACTCACAAACCAATTTGCCGTCAAGAAAATCTGATTATATCATTATAAAAATGTTCTCAAGAGTCTCTTATAAATAGCAAAGACTTTGGTGTTTGTAATATATTCATTTTGGCATCTTTTACATTAAATAGGAGATACACTTGGTGGAAGGGACCCTTCTGTAAACCAACAGGATTGATAATATTGCTTTGGATTGCAGTGCAGCAGAGGCAGAGTTGTCAGCTCGGGTGTTTATCTGTACTGGGGTGTTTTTAAGGAGCCAAAACAAATAAGCTATAAACTTATTGTAAATGTATTCCTTATTATGGGTCAGGTCTAAAACATGACATGTTTCAAAAGCAGGTCAATGAGAAATATTGCATATTATTATTTATTTGCACAAGCAGCAAGCAGATGGGACTCTGTTTTCCTTTTCATGTGTTTGTCCCTACTGCATGTGGTTTACAAAGGCTAAAGTAGTACTGAAGTGGAAATTTTTTTTTTTATCTTCGTTCATTCTCTGCATTAAGGTAAATAACAACCCTCTACGTGTCCTACCCCCCCTTTGTCCCTAAACACATACCTGACTCCATGTCATCTCCCCTGCATTGTCTCTGTCTCCAGCACCACTCCCTTCACTTTTTTCTTTCACAAGAGACACTGAGGACAGCCGAGCCATAGGCTCCTGCTGCTGTCAAATTCCTGTGTGAATCAGGCAGTAATTTATTTATTTATTACAGATACTTATATAGCACCATCAATTCACACAGTGCTTTACATATATTGTACATTCACATCAGTGCCTAACCCTCGAGACGTACAATCTAAGGTCCCTAACTCACATTCATACATACACATACTAGGGCCAATTTAGACAGGAGCCAGTTAACCTACCAGCATGTCTTTGGAGTGTGGGAGGAAGACTGAGTACCAGGAGGAAACCCGCGCAGGGAAAACATACATACTCCAGGCAGTTGGTGCCATGGTTGGGATTCGAACCAACAACCCTAGTGCTGCCAGGCAGAAGTGTTTAACTGTAATTTATCCCTTCTCAGATGTTTCCATCCAAGGTTTCAGTGAGAGATCCCATACTTGGAAAGTAATTGTGCTTTAGTAAGGAATCCTGTTACGTAGTTACTGCTTATTTTTAACATTTGATACCTGATTTTGACAGGTACCCGCTCCAATTCCAGGTAAGATTGCAGTGGCTTTCTTTCGGCCCCTCCTTCCTCCCCCCCTGCAACCTTCTGGGACACACACAGGTCCTAGATGACTGTAGGACCAGTCACACAGCCTGTGACATGTCACATGCCTGATGAAGGGGTCCTACGAGACTCCGAAATGTTGCCTTGCTTTAACTATGTGATCGTCCATTAAAACGTTTAGACCCATATTGGTGATCCCTGGTGTGCTGGCGACATTCTCCCTTGCAGTCACACAGCACAACGTGGCTTGCGCATGCCCAGTAGGACACCGGCTGTGAAGCTGGAAGGCTTCATTGTAAGTTTCTCTTACCCAAGATGCCGGCTTCTTCACCCGAAGCCAATTGAAGAATCGGCTCAGGTGAGGACATCAGTGGATCCCTGGACAGGTAAGTGTCTTTAAAACTTCACATCAGATCTCAATGGGGAAAAATATCATGCTGGATATCTATACTGATATGGACTGGGTAATGTGTTAGGAACGTAAGGATGCCCTATTGTTTGATGGAAATGAAAATTATGAACCTGCAGAGAACAGAATTCAAAGAGTGAAATCAAAGTGAAAAAATGATGCAGCAGGCTAGTATATTTTGCTGAAATTTCATTGCAGCAACTCAAAATGTTTTCAGTAGTTTGCATGGTTCCCACGTGCATGTATGCATGTCTGACAATGTAAGCGCATGCTCCTAATGAGACGACGGATGGTGTCCTAGGGTATTTCCTCCCAAATCTAGACTAGGGCATCACTGAGCTCCTGTCACAGTCTGAGGTGCAACCTGGCGGCATCGGATGGAGCGAAACATGATATCCTAGAGGTGTTCTATTGGATTTAGGTCAGGTGAGTGAAGGGGCTGTTCAATGTAATCAATTCCTTCATCCTCCAGGAACTGCCTGTATACATGAGGCCGGGCATTGTTGTGCACCAGGAGGAACCCAGTACCCACTAACACTGGGTCCACGGATTTCAGCCCAATACCTAATGGCAGTCAGGGTGCCATTGTCTAACCTGTAGAGGTCTGTGCGTCCCTCCATGGATATGCCTCCCCAGACCATCACTGATCCACCACCAAAACTGTCATGCTGAACGATGTTACAGGCAGCATAGCATTTTCCATTGCTTCTCCAGACCCTTTGACGTCTGTCACATGTGCTCAGGGGGAATCTGCTCTCATCTGTGAAAAGCACAAGGCGCCAGTGGCTGACCTACCAATTCTGATGTTCAATGGCAAATGCCGATCTAGCTCTATGGTGCCGGGGAGTGAGCACAGGGCTCACTAGAGGATGTCGGGCCCTCAGGCCACCCTCATGAAGTCTGTTTCCAATTATTTTGTCAGAGACAGTCACACCAGTGGCCTGCTGGAGGTCATTTTGTAGGGCTCTGGCTGTATTCATCCTGTTCCTCTTTGCACAAAGGAGCAGATACCAGTCCTGCTGATGGGTTAAGGACCTTCTACGGCCCTGTCCAGCTCTCCTAGAGTAACTTCTTGTCTTCTGTAATCTCCTCCATGCTCTTGAGACTGTGCTGGGAGACACAGCAAACATTCTGGGAATGGCACGTATTGATGTGCCATCCTGGGGGAGTTGGACTGCCTTTGCAACGTCTGTAGGGTCCAGGTATTGCCTTATGCTACCAGTAGTGACACTGACCCTAGCCAAATGCAAAACTAGTGAAAAACAGTCAGAAAAGATGAGTAGAGAAAAAAATGTCATTGGCCTCCATCTGTAAAACCATTACTCTTTTGGGGGTCGTCTCATTGTTGTTCATCTGGTGCACCTATTGTTAATTTCATTAACACCAAAGCAGCTGAAATTGATTAACAACCCCCTCTGCTACTTAACTGACCAGATCAATATCCCAGGAGTTGAATTGACTTGATGCTATATTCTGAGTAAAACGTGTTCCTTTACTTTTTTTGAGCAGTGTGTATATATGTATGTATGTGTGTGTGTATGTATGTATATATATATATATATATATATATATATATATATATATATATACACAGTTGCAAGAAAAAGTATGTGAACCCCTTGGGATTACGTGGAGTTTTGCATGAATTGGGCATAAAATGTGCTCTGAACGTCATCTAAGTCACAACAATAGAAGAACACAGTCTGCTGAACATAATACTACACAAACATTAGATGTTGTCATGGTTTAATTGCACATAACATGTAAACATTCACAGTGCAGGGAGGAAAAAGTATGTGAACCTTTGGACTTAATAACTGGTTGACCCTCCTTTGGCAGCAATAACCTCAACCAAACGTTTCCTGTAGTTGCAGATCAGACCTGCACAACGATGTGGAGTAATTTTGGACCACTCCTCTTCACAAAACTGTTTCAGTGTAGCAATATTCTTGGGATGTCTGGTGTGAATCGCTCTCTTAAGGTCACGCCACAGCATTTCAATTGGGTTGAGGTCAGGACTCTGACTGGGCCACTCCAGAAGGCGTATTCTGTGCTGTTGCAGCCATTGTTTTGTTAAATTACTTGTATGCTTTGGGTCATTGTCCTGTTGCATCACCCATCCTCTGCGGAGCTTCAGTTGGCGGACAGATGGTCGTACGTTTTCCTGCAAACTGTCTTGATAAACTCTGGAATTCATTTTCCCATCAAGGACAACAATCCGTCCAGGCCCTGAGGCAGCAAAGCAGCCCCAAACCATGATGCTCCCTCCGCCATGTTTTACAGTGGGGATGATGTTTTGATGTTGGTGTGCTGTGCCTTTTTTTCTCCACACATAGTGTTGTGTGTTCTTCCCAAACAACTCAATCTTGGTTTCATCTGTCCACAGTATATTTTGCCAGTAGTGCTGTGGAACCTCCAGGTGCTCTTTTGCAAACTTCAAACGTGCTGCAATATTCTTTTTGGACAGCAGTGGCTTCCTCCGTGGTGTCTTCCCATGTACTCCATTCTTGTTTAATGTTTTCCTTATTGTAGATGTGTCAACAAAAATGTTAGCATGTGCCAGAGATTTCTGTAGGTCTTTAGCTGACACTCTGGGATTCTTCTTTACCTTGTGCAGCATTCTGCGCTGTGCTCTTGCAGTCATTTTTACAGGACAACCAGGCCTAGGGAGAGTAGCAACAGTGCTAAACTTTCTCCATTTGTAGACAGTCTGTCTTACCGTGGACACATGAACATCAAGGCTTTTGGAGATACTTTTGTAACCCTTTCCAGCTTCATGCAAGTCAACAATTCTTGATCGTAGGTCTTCTGAGAGCTCTTTTCTGTGAGGCATGGTTCACATCAGACAGTGCTTCTTGAAACCAGTAAACCCAAAACAGGTGTGTGTTTTTTAAGGGCAGGACAGCTGTCAGCAACACATCCAATATTATGACACTGATTGGAGTCAAGGTTGGCTCACTCCTGGCTCCAATTAGCTCTGGGAGAAGTCATGAAGCTAGGGCCTCACATACTTTTTCCTCCCTGCACTGTGAATGTTTACATGTTATGTGCAATAAACCATGGCAACATCTAATGTTTGTGTAGTATTATGTTCAGCAGACTGTGTTCTTCTATTGTTGTGACTTAGATGACGTTCAGAGCACATTTTATGCCCAATTCATGCAAAACTCCACGTAATCCCAAGGGGTTCACATACTTTTTCTTGCAACTGTATATATTTTTTTTTTATTTCAGGTACTTAAATAGCGCCATCAATTTACGCAGCGCTTTACATATATATTGTACATTCACATCAGTCCCTAACCCTCAAGGGGTATACAATCTAAGGTATATATAGTTATAGTTAGGTCCATATATATTTGGACACAGGCACAATTTTAGTTTTTTTCAGGTTTTTACCAAAACATATTCAAGCTATAGTTATACAATGGATATGGGCTGAAATTGCACACTCTCGGGTATAATTTGAGGGTATGTACATCCAAATTGGAGGAAGGGTTCAGGAATTACAGCTCTTAAGAGTAGCCATCCCCCCTTTTTCAAGGCACCAAAAGTAATTGGACAATTGAATATAATCATAACTAAAATGTTCATTTTTAATATTTTGTTGAGAATCCTTTACTGGAAATGACTGCCTGAAGTCTGGAACCCATGGACATTACCAAAGACTGGGTTTCCTCCTTTCTGATACTTTTCCAGGCTCTAGCTACCTTCAGTTGTTCTTTCTTTGTGGGTCTTTTTCTGCCTTTAGTTTTGCCTTCAGCAAGTGAAATGCATGCTCAGTGTGCTTCAGATCAGGTGATTGACTCTGCCATTGCGGAATATTCAACTTCTTTTCCTTCAAAAGCTCCTGGGTTGCTTTTGCATTGTGTTTTGGATCATTGTCCATCTGTACTGTGAAGCACCATCCAATCAACTTTGCTGCATTTGGCTGAATCTGGGCTGACAGTATATCTCTAAACACTGCAGAATTCATCCAGCTGCTTCTGTCACATCATCAATAAACACCAATGACCCAGTGCCACTGGAAGCCATGCATGCCCATGCCATCACACTGCGTCCACCATGTTTTACAGATGACGTTGTGTGCTTTGGATCATGAGCTGTACCAAGCCTTCTGCACACTTTTTTTCTTCCCATCATTCTGGTACAGATTAATCTTCGTTTCGTCCGTCCACAGAATGCTTTTCCAGAACTGGTCTGGATTTTTTAGATTTTTTTTTTTGGCAAAGTCTAATCTGGATTTTCTATTCTTCAGTCTTATGAATGGTTTGCATCTTCTTGTGAACCTTCTGTATTTGCTCTCATGAAGTCTTCTCTTGATTGTAGACTTTGACAATGATACGCCCACCTCCTGGAGAGTGTCCTTCACTTGTCTGGATGTTTCTTTATCATAGAGAGGATCCTACGATCATCCACCACTGTTGTCTTCCATGGATGTCCATGCCTTTTTATGTTGCTGAGCTCACCAGTGCATTCAGAATGTACCAAACTGTTGATTTGGCCACTCCTAATGTTGCTGCTATCTCCCTGAAGGATTTGTTTCATTTTTGAATCCTTACAATGGCCTGTTTCACTTGCATGGACAACTCCTTTGAACGCATAATGTAGGTTTACAGCAATGGATTCCAAATGCAAATACCACACTTAGAATCAAACTCCAGACCTTTTACCTGATTAATTGATAAAGGAACAACGAAAGAGTAGCCCACACCTGACCATGAAACAGCTTCTGATTCAACTGTCCAATTACTTTTGGTCCCTTGAAAAAGGGGGGATGGCTACCTGAAAAAAATCTAAAAGTGTGTGTCAGTCAGTCAAAGAATGTGGTTGGCTGAGAACCAGGTACAAAGGAAACTAGAGAAACTAATACATGGCTTACACCCGCAAGTCTTCAGGAAACTTATCTAAGCCAAGTCGCTATTTTTTTAGAAAACACAATCACTGAAATAGTACCAGCTAATTGGCTTAGAGCAAATGCGGTACCATTTTACTAAAAGGATCAAAATGTATACTAGAAAACTATAGACCAGTCAGTCCAAATTTGCCCATACATACGTCCGTTTTTTTCATTCAGCCAGCGGGTTGATCAAAAAAACTGACCCAATTCCCCCATCCACACATTCATTGTGGTTGTGGGGATCATCCCCACTGTGTCATTGTATTTGTCAGAATACACAGATTAGCACTGCACCCTATTGCCTGCAGCACTGATCAAGTGAAAATATACCAACAGGGCGGTTGAACAGAAGTTGATCGGTAGATTGACTTCTGTTCAACCACAGTGGCCACAAATGGATCAAAATTCAGCAGGTCCCTGCTGAACTGACCAAGTTTCAATCCATATATGGCCAGCTTAACATCAATAGTACATAAGAGGTTTTGAGGGAATGGTAAGGGACTCTATACAGTGACAAAGGTATCATTAAGTGTTCTTGCATGGCAAGACCACTTACTGTTATCTCACTTATATATTCTTATTATTATAGCCAAATTTATCACCCTAACTCCTCCCACAGTTTTTACACTACATAGACAGTAATATACTGAAACGTGCGGATTCTTCCCAATTGGTGTGCTATTACTTTGTGGAACGTTTCGCCGAAATGGTTCACGAAATATCGGCATTTTTGTGGTGAAAGTGGTCCCATAGGAATGAATGGCGGAATGTTCAAAACTAGAGTGGGAGCTGACAAAACCTTTTCACAGTTACTCCAGCCACTCTAACCACACAACAGTTACTCCAGCCACTCCACCCAGTTACTCCGTCCACTCCAGTTGTAGACTACTGGTGGAGGAAAGAACACTTCACACAATTTCCCCAGAAACTGTAGCTTTTCTAGTTAGTAATAAACCAACATAGATTTATGAAAGACCATTCTTGCCAGACTAACCTATTATCTTTCTATGAGGAGGTGAGAAATTGGATCGTCAAGGTCCAGTGATCATTGCTTATCTAGATTTCGCCAAGCAGTTTAACACTGCACCTCATGTTCAATCTATAAAATAAGGTCTGTTGGAGGTAGTGTGTGTATATGTATGTATGTATGTGTGTGTGTGTGTGTGTATATATATATATATATGTGTGTGTGTGTGTGTGTGAGTATATATATATATATATATATATATATATGTGTGTGTGTGTGTGTGTGTGTATATACATATATATATATATATATATATATATATATATATATATATATATATATATATGTGTGTATGTGTGTATATATATATATATATATGTGTGTATGTGTGTTAAGATGTGATGGTGCTTGTATGGCCACTGCTCAAATGTCAACCTGATTCAGCAGGAATCGCCCAAAATTCATGCCATGTATAGCTAGTTTTACTTTTCTAGGCTGCCTGTTTAAATCAATTTCAGTCGGTAAGCTGATAACCAAGAATTTTACACAAGCAGCATTTTGTTCTATTCCTGCAGCAGCTGCTTCTGGCTACCGCTAGAGGGGGTTGAAAGATAAGAAGTGAGATGGACTCTGTTGGCAGTACAAGTCCTCCCTATCTTTTTTTTTTTTTCCTTGGTTCTCTCTAGTGTTGGCTGGAAACAACTGCTGTAAGAAAAGAATATAAACTCTACTTCATTGCATAGAATCCTGTGTCTGATTTTCAACAAAACACCTTATGGCATACGGCAACTGGAATATTTTAGAATTCTGCACAGATAAATGTGAACTTGTCTTACAAATTAAATCTGTAAGTGCTGTCCTTAGCAGTGTATAGAGTTTTCTTACCTGCATTTAATCACCCCCTGAACAAAGGAACCAAATTCTGTATGGGTGGATGGCCATTCTTTGCCAATCCCTTATTCAAGTATACTTTTTGTTACTGCATCTAGCAATTAATAAGAATACAGTGCACATTAGCTCTGGTGTTTGCACACTGATGGATACACCTGCTTTAAATAGAAGCATACTGTGATGTGCCTCTGTGATTCCATTTTGATTATAAAGAAGGATATATTAGCTCTTGCCTCCTCCTTCAGTTTGCAATTATGTTTTGTTGATTTTGTTTTGTTGTTAGGCTGGAAATTATGGAGCAGATGGCTTTACTCCAAGAGACATCATATGAGCGGCTGTATCGATGGGCTCAGAGTAAGTGTACTTTTTTTCTTTTATGACTTGCAGTGGTGCTTATAAGTAGGAGCTTCTCCCGTAAAAGATTAGTGAACCTTGTTTAGCTATGACACTTTGTTGAGTGACCTGGGAATGACAGACTAAAAGCTGTTCCTCACCTGCTGAAGGCTAGAAGATTTTTGACAACACATTCATAGTAACACAGACCATACAGAAGAACTAGGCCAGTCCGGACTGCAGAAGAAGGAAGAGAGCTTAACATTGAGGTCAAAGTGGAACAATAAAGGCCTTCCCTGTTTCTCCTAAAATTTAATAACTTGTTTTGGATGGAATTGCCCATGAATAACATGGTACACTGAGCAGCAATAATTAAAGTGTTACTAAACCCCGGACCCTGCATTTACTCTGTCTGGTCTTCCACAGTACACAGAGCATGGAAGTGCAATTATTTTAGTACATATAAACTGCTAAATACCTTTTCCCATCAGCAGTTAGAGCAGTCTTGTGACTTCTATCAGTGTCCAGCAAAACACTGGTTAAAACTTGTAGGAGGAGCTTTCATTCTGCTCTAGGAGAATACAGAACTACTGAACTCTGTCTGGACAGTGCTGATTGGCCCTGTGCTGATCACATGCACTCTCCCAAGAAAAAAAAAACCCCTCTCTAGCAATACACACCAAACTGAGTATGTGAAGAGTGACTACTCATGATATGTCTTATCAGGAGATAAGAGGGGGACACTGGAAAAAGGGGAGGATCAGAGAAGACCGGATCAAACAGCGTTTTTACATAATGCAGAGTATTAACTTCTTAGGTTCCACAGTGAGTATAACAAGCATGCTTTACTGCATATACAGACTGATTTTACTGTTGTGGGTTTAGTAATACTTTAATAGTAGTTACTCGGAGATCACCTTTGCAACTTCTCCCCCCCTGTAAGATGCGGAACACTGATCTGTAAGTGGTTGCAGTGGAAAAAAAACTACGTTCCCCTCGCTCAGCTACCAAACACAGCTTCTTGTGGTCAAACCAGCACTCTGGCCGAAGTGTTTCCATACTCCATCCACGGGGATTATAGTTAGATTCAGTTGGCTACTCTGTAACATCCAATAATATACAAATCCTTATTAGCTACATGGTAAAACACAAAAATAACAGGCTATTTTGTTTCGGCTGTGACAGCTTTCCTCATAGCAAGTTGTCACAGCTGAAATATTTTAGCCTGTTATATTTGTGTTTTACCATGTAGCTAATAAAGATTTGGATTTTATTGGATGCTACCGAGCAGCCAGCCGAATCTAGCTATTTTCCCAGTAGGTTGCAGCACTTTATTGCTCTTTGAATATGACTATGGGCTTTTGTAATGAAGTGGACATTAAAGCGTGTGTTGTACTAATCACATCATAGAAACTCATGCTTATGATATTGAATTCTGGAGTTAGCATGTATTACTTTTTTTCTTCTAATGGTAGATGAGTGCAGAACATTGACGCAAGAATCATGTGACATATCTCCTATTCTCTCTCAAGCGATGGATGCTCTACAAGACAGACCTGTCTTATACAAGTAAGTTTTCTGTATTCGTATTGTGATTATTTTAACAGATAACTTGAGCAGCATTTACAAGGGGTGTTCAAGTCAAACCGAGACTTTTTACTTGACTGGTATAAAAAGGGATGCTAGCAAGGCAGTGGCAAGTGTCCTATTACTGATAGTCAGCGCACATGTCGCAGGCCAGTCCAGAGACCGTTAATAAAGATGGCAGACAACAGTGTTAGTGCATGCATGGAGCAACATGTGGTGATAAAGTTTATTTGAACGAAGGCGTAAAACCCGTGGATATCTACAGAAGACTTCAAGCACAGTATGGTGATGAGACGCTCAGTCGCAGTAAAACATTTGAATGGTGTAAACGTTTCAAAGATGGCCGTGCGTCCGTTAGTGACGATCCCAGCTTTGGCGGTTCCTAAACCACAGCAGTCGTTTCTGTGAACATTCAGCGCATGGAATGCCTGATCCAGGAAAATCAACATATAACCTGACTTGAAATTGAGAGATGAATCTTTCTGTTGAAATGGTGAACACAATCATTCAGAAACATTTGCATTTTCGAAAAGTTAGCACACACTGGGTACCAAGACAGCTTTCTGCTTTTGACTGGCGCAGAAGTGATGTGCATACGCGGCCGTGGAAAAAACCGGCTTGGTTTGATCACTAAAGGCATCCTTTTTCTCCAGCACAACACATGACTCAGCTAGGAGGTATTGCCACATCCCCTTACAGCCTGGACCTTGCTTCAAGTGGTTTCCACCTGTTTGAACTCCTAAAAGAGTTCCTTGGGTCAGCATTTCAGCACTGATGATGAAGTGAAGCAGGCTGTCCTAGGATGATTCAGGCGTACTAATAAATCTTTCTATGCCAAAGCTTTCCAGGTATTAGTTAAGTGCTGGAATAAGTGTATAAAGGTAGCAGGGGAGTATGTAAAAAAAATGCAGTTTCCAATCCTTGAAATATGTTCTTTTATTATATAAACTCAAAAGTCTTGGTTTGACTTGAATGCCCCTCGTAACACTGCTAAATGTCGTCATAATAAGAGCAGAACTCTTGTTTGCTACAGTCCCATCTGTGTTGCCAATGGAACACCTGGCCAAATCATAAGGCCACTGCCTGCTGCAAGCAAAACTGCTATTTACTTTTTAAATTGTGCGCCTTTTCTGTGTCACTGTTGGTCTTAGGGCTCGTTCACACTTGACTGTTTTACAAACGCTTGCCAAACGCCCCTATAGCGTTTGGCAAGCGTTGGTCCGGTGTTTGCGGAGCGGTTTTTAACACTCGGCAAACGCTCCGCAAATGCCGCATGCGCGGGTCAGCGGCGGTTGCTAGGCGTTTGCTGACCGTTAAAAATGCTCCGCAAAACGCCTATAATGAAGTTTAAATGGTGTTACCGCTCCGCAAACGCCCCGCAACCGCATCGCACCATAGACAAGAATACAAGGTTTCAACGCCACCTGACTTGTCCAGAGGCGTCCGTTTTGCCGTGCCGCGACGCTACCGCTCCCGTTAGAACAGCACCATGTGCTGCAATATGCAGAATTGCCAGAGGCGTTTGGGAAGCGGTAAAAACTCTTCCCAAACGCCTCGCTGCCGCCTGCACACAACGCTAGTGTGAACGTAGCCTCAAGGACGGCCTGGGACCACTAGTGAGCCTGCCAAGCCTACTTGTTACTTGAGCACAGTGTACATGACAGCCCAGATTTGATGATACTGTACATGCATGGGGATTGGCTGCTTTTCTGCTCCCTCTCTCACTGCTCTGTATCAGCCCAGCAATTCTTTGACATTCTGAGCTTCCACTGCTTAAAGTGATTGGTCACAAAAGCTTTAGCACTTTCTGCTCTGCAGTACAGGTTAGGAGTACCCCATGTGGGATATACCACACTGCACATGGGGGATAATGGGTGCAACAGGAATATGGTAAGCTCATTAGTCCCTATTCTTAGATACTGTCCTCTTCAGAGGTATCTAGCTTCCCTGAATGCTTGTTCCTACAATCTGTGTTGCATGGTGGCTGACCACATTATGAAAAAAAAAAAATGTAGTCCCTCCAAAGTGTTTTGCTCAGCAGTACCAGATTGTGTAGGAGTCCCTAAAGAAATGGGCAGTCCTAAGAATAATCAGTCTACACCCAGTCAGTCAATGTTCAACAGACAATGATGAAACTGCAGATATTTGGATTGATGCTAAATCCTTAGAAATCAGTCCTAGATGACTCATTGCTTGGATTATCTGGGCCTAATCTTTGACAGGTGGCCCTTTCCAGGTTCTTTTTTTCCACTGGACTAGCCCCTGTCTCTCTGGAATCCAGCACCTATGGCGCATGAGCCACCCAATCATTGGTTTTGCAGAAGGGTTTTGGGACTAACCTCCTTTGAATCAGTACTATATGCCAAATTTCTCTCCAGGCCGTTGCATTTTAACTTTCTGCCAGTGTCGGACAAGTATCACAAACAAACAATAGCTTTCCCAGTACACTTACCAGCCAGCCTGCAAAACAACCAATGATATGTGTTGCCTGTCCATGTGCACTGTACTGCAAAGTCTATGTGACAGGCCCAACCAGGATAGGGGATGGAGGAGGAGACTGCAGGCTAGCCTCTTGCCTACTGACTATGGGCTCTGGCATCTGAGGGGCTCTATTCTTTGGGAGGTGTGTGCCTGGAGGTACCTTTTTGGAGTAGTTTTACTTCAGATTCAAGTCCAAGTCTCCTTGAAACACACAGACTCTGAGACCTGGAGGACCAGGATACAGATTGGGGTCTCTTTGCCCGAACCAGCATTGACTGTTTCAACTTCCCTCCTTTACTTAGATCAGATGTTAATATAATCAGCTCAGAACAACCTGATGCTGAGGTCTCTTGCTGTAATCTGTTTATTAAGGTGTGATGTGTTTACTGTTGTGTTTTTGTCCCAATGTTAATTGAGGTAATCAAGACACCTATTCTTTCTGTCAGTTGGCTTAATGATGGGATTAGTCTTGTGTCAACTTTACATTGTTACCTAATCAGTGTGGGGGTGTTTATCACAATGTGTAATATTTGTTTTTATTGACCATATGGGGACTGCTTTTATTTTTGAAGTGTATAAAAAACTTGTATTTATGTTCCATAAAGTAGTTCCAGTTGCACCTAAGCTAGTGTCGTCTACTTCTTGGTGCAATGCCCAGCTATAATACCTTGATCCTGTGTCCCAGCAGAGAGGAAGCACTCAGGTGGGTGTCAGGCAGTCCGTCAGAGGCTAGTTATAGGTTGGGGTGGCTGCCCCTTTTTTTTTTACAGTGTGGGTCAAGCGGACTCGGTCTCTAGATTGCCCCATATGCCTGACCAACAAAACTAGGCTTGCCCTGGTGGAGCAGATTTTCAATTCCACTCTGAAATTCAGAAAATCTTGAAAGGTTCTCATGACAACTACTAACCTATCAGACTAGGTAGGAGTCCTGATGCCCTACCAGTGCAGGGACTTGATCTATGGAGGTAGCTTGACTTCTAATCAATACAACTGGGCAATTCAGTTGTTCATTCAGCATAGCGAACATGTCAACAGGACTTCTATGATCTAAATCAATAGAAGGCCAAATAAAAGACCTAAAAATGCTATCCTTAAAGTGGGTCTAAAGCTTAAACATTTTTTTTACCTTTCATTATTTGCATTTGCATGTGTGTGGACTTTAAAGACTGAAGGTTAGATTTCTGATGGAATTGACACCACTGCCCGATCAGTTACACAGGCACTACAACACCAGAACATTCGGGGTCTACTAGACCCCTGATGTCTAATTTAAAAAGCACCTGTTACAAATAATATCACATAGTGGGCTGGTGATCCCTTATGCCATATCAATAAAATTATCCCCCCCCGCGTACACACCCACATACGTATAAAAATACATACATTGAGCGTGGATAAAAAATGTAGATTGTGCTAATTATGTTAGATATTGCCCAGCACGCCGGAGTGAAAGCAATAATTCTAGGGTCATTATTAATGGTTAATTCTAAGCTGATGACAAGTAAGGGTTTTTTTTTCTCTATTTAATTTAAAACTCTTTTTTTTCGTATTTATTTTACCTTGTAATCCGATGGAGTTTTTTTAAATTCAAGTACGTCATCTTTTTTGGGATATCCTTGTTGGGACAATTAATAATTCTTTATAAAGTTTTATGTCTACTTTACAGCATCACATAGTAACTGAATTTTGTAATTGTATGTCTATACCCTGGCCACTGTCTACTTTAACCGCCTCCCGCCAGCTATATTGTAAAATGACGGACGCAAGGCGGTTCTCTTGTTCTGGGAGGACGTCATATGACGTCCTCCCATTCTAACTGCGCATGAGTGGCTCCAGGAGCGCACAGCGTGGCGATCGGTGGTGCACTGTGTCCCTAGGACACAGCGGATCACCGATCAACGGAAAGAGCTGAAGATGTCGGCTCGGTCATGTGATCAGCTGTGTCCAATCACAGCTGATCACATGTAAATAGGGAAATGCCAGTTATCTGTATTTCTCTCCTCACGAGCTGTCACGCTGACATCTCGTGAGGAGAGGAGAGGCGGTAATCGGCATCCCTCAGAGGGGACATGTACACTGATCATCAGGGCACTGATGATCAGTGTGCCCTGATGATCTGTGTAGCCCCCCAGCAGTGCCACCTGTCAGTGTCCATCAGTGCCAGCTGTCAATGCTCATCCATGCCACCTGCCAGTGCCCATCAGTGCCACATTTCAGTGCCAACCAGTGCACATCAGTGGCACATTTCAGTGCCCATCTGAGCTGCCTTTCAGTGTTACCCATCAGTGCCAGTCAGTGCCGCCTATCAGTGTGCATCAGTGCCAACTATCAGTGCCCGTCAGTGCTGCCTAACAGTGCCAGTCAGTGCCGCCTATCAGTGCCATATATGAGTGCTGCCTTTCAGTGCCCATCAGTGATGCCTGTCAATGCCCATCAGTGCCACCTACTAGTGCCTCCTCATCAGTGCCACCTATCAGTGTCCATCAGTGCAGCCTATCAGT